ATACACACTGGAGATTATTATGCTGCAGATAAATAAAAATAAAGCTACACACACACAAACACACACACTTCTAAATACACTGCAGGAGCATGCCAGTTCAAAAGGTTGAGAACACAAAGGTACACTACCTGGGATGTTTCTTCACCTCCACTGTTCGATGATGCATCACTAACCAGGCTAAAGAATAAAACAACATCTGTTATTCTCAGACAGCATATTATCATCAACGTTAAAGTCCAGGAAATTAATACTAACACACATTTAAATTTTTCAACTATTCTGAAAATCTCCACTGTGAGTCATTGGTTTCCTCCTTCCCTAATGAAACAATAACTCAAGGAGAAGTATGGCTGTTTTACTCCTTGCATGTTCCATCTACAACATTCTGCATGCAGGTTGTGGAACTACCTGAAAAGAGAGACCCACTTGACCCCACCTCTTTACTCTTCACCAGCTTGTTCCGGGTAGTTTGCTAGGAATTTGGTGTGCCAATTTCAAAAAGGTTTAGCAGATAACTCTGCAGCATAATGCATTTTCATCTGTGACGCTTGTCTCAGTTTAATAGTCTATTGTTGATCAAATTTTTATTATTTTGTCTTTTGTAAGTCACAAGTGCTGCTATTGGAATAGAAGGATAAGGTATGAATTGCTCAAATTAAGTATGAGACAAGACAAATCCGTTTATTGTGAGGACCATGCCTGTACACAAACATTAACACAACAATAGTTAAAAGATATTAAAATTCATTACATACTACGCCAACAAAACCTTCATCCCACAAAATAGAAAGAGAGGGAAAACGAGCAACGAGTTAAACAGACGATGAAGGGGTCTTTACATTGTCATCCATAAGTCTTTCCCTGGCTTTCATGGCCTTTATCACAAAAACCGCTACCACATGGGTAATACGTGGGTTTGCATCAACTAACAAAAATTTTACTCTATCTTCAGGATTGGTTATAGAGTTGGGTATAATTTGCAGCAATGCGTCTCTAAAGCTCGAGTAGATGGGGCAATAGAGGAGGTAATGTGTAAGATCCTCTTTAATTTTCATAAGGCAAGGGCATAAACGATGTTCTACTGGGGTTTTTGTGAATCTACCGGTCAGATATGCAGTTGGCAGTGTTTGAAACCGTGCCATAGTGAAAGCTCTCCGAAGGGTGGGGTCAGTGATTTCCACCAAGTAGTTGGCACAGATTTTGACTGCTTTTACTCGGGAAACCAGTAGGAAAACCCAGAGTTTTTATCTTTGTGGAGTCCAAAAGGCGTCTTTTTCAAAGATCCATTCCCGAACTTTATCAGGGCTCCACAATTTAAGGGTATTAAACTCAGGTAGATTGTATCTGGATAGGATATCTAGTAGGTTTTTATGCCAAGTAGTATTATTTTGTAATAATACAAAGGCTTGTTTAGCCAGTAAGGTGTTCGGGGCATCTGTGAGGTTGATGAAAAAACGCAGGAATCTTAAGTGGGCCCTGGCAGACACAGAAGGTAATCCTACTTCCACTCTTAGGAGAGCTGCCGGAGTACTCTGAGGGAGGCCTAGAATTCTTCTGAGGTAAAAATTTTGGAAGATTTCAAGCCGTTCTAACAGCTTCTGATTCCATCCCCAGAGTTCTACTCCATATAGCATCTGGGGAATCACTTTTCCAACAAAAGCTTTTAATGCCGGGATCACCAGTTGCCCTCCCTCGAATAAAAAAGCTGAGCAGGGCACCGATTGTCCTACGTGTTAGAAGGGCTACAGTCTTGAAGTGGGCAAGCCAGCTAGATGTAGATTGGAAAGTGATACCAAGATATTTAAAAAAAAGACACTGTTCAATTTTGTGTTCATCTAAAGACCATCTAAATGTGTGGCGAGCTCTAGTAAATACCACAATTTTTGTTTTGTCATAATTAAATTAAGTAAATTAATTTCAATTTAAGAGGAAACTCCCCTCCCCTCTGCTGTTTTTCCCATTCAACTTTGGGGCTAAACAAAATCTGACGGGAGCAGCCAGGCTTGTTTAATCCCACCCAGTTATATAGAAATGGGACCAACATGTGAGCAACCAATGGGAGCTCCTGTTCACACCTAGGTTAGACTAAGCTTCTTGGGCAAGGCCTGCATTTCTTTTGCCTCTGCATTCTGTAAAGCACTAATGCCCAGCAGCTGCACTTTCTGAACTGCAAGATTGTTGCCATTCCTGAACTAAATTATTAGCAAAATACATACCTAAAAGTTCACAGATTTGCCGTTCTGTGGAAAGAATGGGCTCCCATTTCCTTGCCTATTTTTAACTGAGATGTTCATGGAAAAAGTCTTCCAGCCATAACTCTGCATTTTTGTACCGCAATGAAGGGCTTTTCTGTAGCGTTTGCTGATAAATATAGACCTCAATCTATCACTTAAAGGGTAGATTTTTCTGCAAATATTTCCCCAGGGCATACTTCATTAGTTATACATTATTTAAATGTATTGACTTCTAAACCACAATAAACAAGCAACTTATCACATCACCATGATTGATTTTCATATTTTATGCTAGAACAACTCTACTGTAGAAAGAGCAAGAAGTGCACCTCTCCTATAAAACCTTGTAGACTCGTGATTTTTAACATACAATTTAACCTTTCAAAGGCTTTTGTTTAAAGAAATTTCTGGTGATTGTATCTTCTTTGTTGATGTGGCACTGAAGTGAATTTTAATCCGCTGAAGTATGGAACTGCACCTCTTACACCCGGGTAGAAATTTTATTAATCATGAATTAAATGATTAATGACCCTACTAAGGCTGCAGCAACATACAAGGTACTTGGCATATTAAGGAGCTGCATGTGTTTAGTTATGAGGGCGAGAGCCAGTGCTAACAGGCTGACATAACTCATTCCATTTTTTGTAACTTTAAAAGGATGTACCGTATTTTTCGCCCCATAGGACGCACCGGCCCATAGGACGCATCAAGTTTTTTGGGGGGGAAATAAAGAAAAAAATTTTTATTTCCCCCCCAGGCGCTTGTGGGGCCACCTTGAGATCAGGTCCGGGGACAGCGGGGAGACGCGCTGCGCCTCCCAGCTGTCCCCGGAGCTTGCGGGGCAGGCAGCGGGGAGAAGCGCTCTTCTCCCTGCCACCCACCGCCCGCCTTCAGATCAGATCCGGGGACAGCGGGAAGACACGCTGCGCCTCCCAGCTGTCCCCGGAGCTTGCGGGGCAGGCAGCGGGGAGAAGCGCTCTTCTCCCCGCCGCCCGCCTTGAGATCAGGTCCGGGGACAGTGGGAAGACGCGCTGCGCCTCCCAGCTGTCCCCGGAGCTTGCGGGGCAGGCAGCGGGGAGATGCTCTGTTCTCCGCGCCGCCCGCGTTCAGATAAGGTCCGGGGACAGCTGGTAGACGCGCTGCGTCTCCCAGCTGTCCCCGGAGCTTGCGGGGCTGGCAGCGGGGTCTCCCAGCCGTCAGCCTCCAAACCACTTCGGGAGACAGCGGGATGGCGGCGTTCCGCCTCCCTCTGTCCCCCGACCTTGTGGGGCTGGCGCTGGGGCTCTCCTGAAGCCTGGAGAGCGAGAGGGGTGGGTGCGCACCGACCCTCTCGCTCTCCAGGCTTCAGTGAAGCCTGCATTCGCCCCATAGGACGCACGCACATTTCCCCTTCATTTTGGGAGGGGAAAAAGTGCGTCCTATAGGGCGAAAAATACGGTATGTCATTAGCAACCATTTGACAATTATCAAAAGATTCCTCGTAGGTTGGCCTTAAAAGCATATATTTAAAAGTACATCTAACTTCTTGTAATGTCTTATTGATGACTTTAAAATACTACATAGAACCAGCATTACATGTTAAAAATATCTGCAGAACATGCAAATCACATTTATATTGTGAAACATTGTTTATTGTGAAACATGTTTATTGTTTCTACTACGTAGTGTGGGGAAAACAACCCACCATGTGCAAAACATGTTACGTCAAAGCCATAAGGAAGGGGGAGCGAACATATACAATCAATACTGTTACTGAAAGTGACCAGAGAAAAGAGACTTCCTTTTCTTGCATTGCTATATATCAGCTTTGTGGGGAACCCAAGTTGCCAAATGCAACTGATACTCAGAAAGGAGAAACAGGCTTTTATCTGTGCCAGCAGCTGGTCCAGAGATGCAGCATACAGAAAATATTGTTTTATTTACATTGAAGGTTGATAATTTGTTACTGTGGTTGAAAAAAAAGTATGATAAACTGTCTTATGTTAAAACTTGTCTGACATAGCAAAAATGAAATTAAAAAAATCTGTATATGGGAGACACTAAACATATTTAATTTGACCAACTAAATAAGAATACAAGCTGCTGCAACAATGGTAAATTTCACATCCCTCAAACAGGTTAGAACTACAGGAAATAGGTGGGAACTCATTTTTTAACAGGGTGTAACAGAAGGCATTTGAACTGTTGAATGGTTTAATATGTAAAGGTTCATCATTGTTCCACTCGATGTGTATGTCTTTAAGGGGCCAGAGAAAGGGCCAGAGCAAGATAACGAGACCCAGCTTTACAGCTGTGAAACATAGCAGGTGCTGCTGAGTTGTATTGATTAAGCTGTGTTGGCAATTGGGTGTAGTATATAAGGAGCAGCACCTAGCTCTCCCATTACCCTGGGGGATGGGTTGGTGGTTGGGTCATGTTTGTTTGTTAATGTATTTAGTCTAAAAGGAGTTTTTGTTTTTCTTATTAAAACCTTGTTTAAATTATTTTTGAGTCCCTTTTTAATGCATGGTCTCCCCAGCAAGCTCTCTGCAGCGCTACCATAGTGCAAAAAGCCAACATGAACAACCAGCAACAGGCTCGGGCTAGGCTCGACAACAGCAAACTACTTCTTCATACAAAGCATAATATGCTTTTTGGAACTCACTATCACAAGATAGGAAGGTGGCTAACAGTTTCGCTCAGATGGTTTTAAAGGTGGATTTAGACAAATCATGAAGAAGAGCTTTATCAACTGTTACGATTGCTGGCAGAAACGCCAGATTCGGAGACGGTGTACCCTGAATGCCAATTGTGGATGGTGGGGGCAGCAGCAGAGAAGGGCTGCTGCCTTCGTGTCCTGCTTTGAGAGGCCCTTTGGGGCATCAGGCTTGGCCACTCTGGGAAAGAGGAGGCTGAATTAGATGGGCCCCCTTTGGCCTGATACAGAGGAACTCCACCGGCTTGGGTGGCTGCTTCCTCATTAATAAGGATGCATCAGAACACTACAATTTATTAGACAAAGCACTGTAATTACCGTATTTTTCGCTCGATAACACGCACCCGACCATAACACGCATGTAGTTTTTAGAGGAGGAAAACAAGAAAAAAAATATTCTACACGAAACAGTGGATGTATGATTTTTGTGGTTCATGCTGATCTGATGGTGAGTTTGGGTTGGCCCAATGCAAAAATCCTGAGGATCCATGTGGATCTGTGCTTTGTAACCATGTTTTAAGTGGGGAGGGAAGGAAAAGCACTCAAGGGACAAGGAGCACATGTGGAGCAAGCTCTGCTTCTCTCCCTCCTCCCCCCCCCCTTAGCGAGCTGAAAAACTTTGCTGGAGGGACAGAGAGCCTGCTTGCTTTAAAGGAGCCTACCGGACAGGCTCCTTTAAAGCAAGCAGGTTCTGCTTCTCTCTCTCTCCCTCCCCCCCCCCCGCTTAGCGAGCTGAAAATCTTTCCTGCTATTTCCAGCAAAGCGGGACGAGAGAGATACAGAGAGCCTGCTTGCTTTAAAGGAGCCAACCGGACAGGAGCCGCTTACACTCGTGTAAGCGGCTCCTCTCCCGCTTTGCTCCTTTAAAGCAAGCAGGCTCTGCTTCTCTCCCTCCTCTCCCCCCTTAAGCGAGCTGAAAATCTTTCCTGCCATTTCCAGCAAAGCGGGAGAAGAGCCACTGAGTGGGGACGAGAGAGATACAGAGAGCTGAGTGTAAGCGGCTCCTGTCCGGTAGGCTCCTTTAAAGCAAGCAGGTTCTGCTTCTCTCCCTCCAGGCACACTGTCCCTCTCTCCTCCCCATTCAGCGGCTCTTCTCCCGCTGGAAACCATGGAGGAGGGAAGCATTCGCTCTGTAACACGCACATTTCCCCTTACTTTCTAGGAGGAAAAAAATGCGTGTAATGGAGCGAAAACTACGGTAGACTTGGGTTGTGATTCCAAAAGAAGGCACTTCAGGGATGCTAAGCAGAGATTTAACACCTCCCGCCCCCCCATGAACAACTCACTATCATACACACACTCAAACACATATGCTTCAAATATGGCTTGACACACAGTATTGGGGGCTACTATTTGTAAAACATAAACCTTAAGTCCCCAAAAACACTTGAACCAAGTTGCGTGGGTTTTTTTATCCTGGCCTTTGTGTGTATGTAATAAAGCTTAATAAAAATATTTAAAATGGAATTTGCATTTTTTTATCTGGAGTACAACCAAACTTGCTTCTGTATCATAGAATAGAAACCCTTTCTTTCTATGCTGGTAGACCATCAACACAACCACCCAACTACAAACCACCCCATCATGGTCCTTCAGTCCCATCCTAACTACAAACAAACAAATTAGAGAGAGTCTCACAAAAACCCTCCAAAACTACTTCAAAGAAAACGATGTAAACAATATAACAACCCCCCTCCTATGGGACGCAATGAAAGCGGTCACCAGAGGAGCTTGCATAAAAGAGAAAACATTCCTTAAAAAACAAACCTCCTCAAAAATTAGCAAAATAGAACAAGACACCACAGCCCTCTCATCACGCTACAAACAAACAGGATCTAAAAACTCCTCAAACTTATAGAACAAAAAAGGAGAGAACTAGACTCCCTAGAAATTAACAAAACAATGATCAACATTCTATACTCTAAACAACGTTTCTACGAATATGGAGGGAAAAACTCCAGATTACTAGCAAATAGATGTAGGAAAAAGCACTCAAAACAAGAATACACTGCATCACCAAAAAGACGGCAACATAACATTCTCCCCAAAGAAATAACCTCAGAATTTGCAGAATTCTACTCCAACCTATACACCTCCCATAACCCACCAGAGAAGGAAATCAGAACATTTCTAGCAGGACTGACCATGCCTACCCTAACTAATGAGGAACAGGAATTCATGGACAGCCCTATCACCCCAGAGGAAATAGATGCGGTCCTCAAAAACCTGAAACCACACAAAGCCCCAGGCCCAGACGGCTTCACAGCAGAATTCTATAAGAAATTCAAAGAACCCTTGATGCCCTACATGACCCGCCTATTCAACGACATCATAAAAGGGGGCCCCATCCCCAAAACCTGGACCCACTCCAAAATAGTCTCCATCCCAAAACCACTAAAAGACAGCCTCAAAGTAGAATCATACCGCCCAATCTCATTAATAAACCAAGACTACAAGATATTCACATCAATCTTGGCCAACCGCCTAAAAATCTTCCTACACAAGTTAATAGCCCCAGACCAGACTGGCTTTGTCCCTGGCCGCAATATAACAGACCCCATCAGGAAACTACTGAACCTGATCGAACACAGCAAGGCAACCAAACTCCCATTGACAATTATGTCCCTAGACATCCTCAAAGCCTTTGATTGCTTGGAGTGGAAATACATATTAGCAGTACTAACTAACATGAAATTTGGCCCCAACTTCCTACAAATCCTCAAACAAATATACTCCCAAGCCTCAGCAAAATGCAGAACTAACAATATGGATTCTAACACTATAGCTATCCAAAGAGGCACGAAACAAGGATGCCCACTGTCTCCCTTCTTATTTATCCTGGCTCTGGAACCCCTAGCAATCCGCATCCGAGCAGCCACAGACATCAAGGGAGTGGAAATAAAAGGCAGAACCTATAAATTAGGGCTCTTTGCAGATGACCTAATGGTCACAACACCAGACCCCATAAGCACAGCAACCTCCCTAATCAGAGAACTCAACACATTTGCAATGGTGTCGGGCCTACAGGTAAATTTTACAAAGTCAGAAGCTATGTGCTTCAACACCCCTCCTCACACCCAAAAAGAACTCACGAAGGTCACCAAAATAAAACTTTGCCACACCAAGTTCAGATACCTAGGGGTACAAATAACCAGAAACCTCAATAAATTGTACCTCCACAACTACAAGCCCCTGTGGCGACAAATTAACAAAGACCTAAAGAGATGGAATAACATGAACTTCACTCTCTCAGACAAAATAGCCATGATCAAAATGATCACACTCCCAAAACTAACCTACCTATTCCAAACCCTCCCAATCTGGATCCCCTCAACCCAACTTCGCAGTTGGCAGAGAAAACTACACTCTTTCATCTTCTCACATAAAAAACCAAGAATAAGCCCCAAATACCTGCACCTCCCCACCTCAGAAGGAGGATGGGGAATCCCCAACATAGAAGCATATTACAATGCCAACCAAATACGCCACATAATCCCATATATACTAGAAGATGAGACAAAACAATGGGTACACCTAGAGAGGGACACAATTGAAAACACCTGCACCACAACATACCCACTCCTCCCAAACAAACTAAAGAAAATTCCCACAACACTTAACAGGTACACACAGACCATGCTCAAAGCATGGAAAACACAAATAGGCAAACTATCCCCAACCCCATCCCCACTAATCCCATGGCGTACCACCCATTATTCCACCGTGCAGCACAAAACCTCAAGATAAAAACCTGGCGAACCAAAGGCTTATATCGCCTAATAGACTTTTATAAAAATAACAAACCCTTGTCAACACAAGAAATACAAGACAAACTAGAAGACACCCAAATGCCCTGGTTAACACAACACCAACTTCATGCCCTCTTAAACAACCCAACAGTAAAATCAGCAGCAACTAGGCCCCTGACAACCTTCGAAAACCTCCCCCTAACAACAAAGGGAAACGGTAAAGGGACGGTATCCGCAATATACAAAATACTACTCCAAAATCCTGTAAATGCCCTAGACGCAATCAAAAAACAATGGGAGAATGACATAGGTTATGAGATTAACCCCACTCAATGGACCAGAATGTGGTCTAAACCCCCTTTAAATCCATATCAACGAAAAGAAAAGAACTCACACTGAAACTCACCTACAGGTGGTACCTAACACCAAGGAAACTAGCGCTAATACACCCAGGAACCTCACCAAAATGCTGGAGAGGGTGCACCTCCACAGGCACATACCTCCACATGTGGTGGGAGTGTCCCAAAATCCAACTATTCTGGACAACAGCCATACAAGAAATATGTAAAATAACTAAGCAAGTAATAGACATCACCCCAGAATTGGCCCTACTAAACATCTTCCAAGACAACAATGCCCATTTACACCACAAAGAACTCATAACCCACCTGCTCTCAGCAGCCAGAAACACCATAACCAGACACTGGAGAGACCTGTCAGGAGTAAGCATGGACCAATGGTACCAAATAGTATGGGAAACAGCCCTACTAGAAAAATTAACTAATAAACTGAAACTGACACGGGGACAAACAGAAGAAGACGCCTTCACCCCGGTATGGCTCCCATTTATCACATACACAGCCCAACAGGACAATGACAATAATCCACCAACAGCATACAAATCAATATGGCTAACCTGATCCAAAACACCCACCCACCTCACTCACACACGAAAACAAAGATCACCACAGCCAATCACAAGCAAACAATCACACCCTAGGCCAACCCCAACCTCTCTCACCACCAAAGGAACACAAGTGAACAACACAAGCAACGCTGACACCAAACTCTACATACATTAAACATAATAGAAACACCGCCACCCGACCCCACCCCCATCCATCTTCCCTCTCTCCACCCCCCCCTTTTTCTTTTTTCTTTTTTTTTTTCTTCTCCCCCTAATGCCTCAACAAATGAAACGGATTTGTAAAAATGTTACATGGGAAAAAAAATACGAGGCACTACACTTCTGTAAAACAAGAAAATCCTTAATAAAATATTTTAAAAAAAAAAAAAAACACAACCACCCAACTGACAAACAAGCTAATCTCAGAAACTTACTGAGAAATGTTGTCGGCAACCAGACAGTCCGAGGGAACTGGAATTAAAGAGAAGATCAGTAGTGTTAAAAACCAACAGAAAGACAACAGGCTAACATCTGGCTTATGTCAGAGGTACATGAGCCACATACCATTTTCGATAATCACTTGACAAGTGTGAGTAAGGTTTTCGTTCAAGTGCGTAGCCATATTATCCAAGCCGGAAGCATCAGTCAGGAACTCACAATTAAGACAAACAAGAGTAACACCCCTAGGGGAAAAAGGAAGAAGTAACCCTGAGTGCAAGGGAGGCAAAAGGTTACAAAAAGCTTCTTCTGACCATGTCATGTGAAGTCAACCCTGCACTGGACTAATATATACATATAACTCATTACATACTAGCTGGTACACATGTTCGTTCCAAGAATTTTTCATAAGCATTGCATATATGAATAATATTATTGGAAAGAACAAGACTACAGAAGGAAAGGTTGTACTTTTTTCGGTAAGCAAAGTTATCAGTGCCCGCCCCTCCCTTGATGGTTTTCCTTATAACTTCTGGATCTGTGAAATTGCAGCTATGTGGAAAAATGGATTCAAAACAACAAATCATGATGATGAGCAAAATTTAACAAACAAAAGAATCAGTATCACATCTCAAAACATCAGAAAAATCAAGAATTTTGGCTTGGATATTAGTTTAGGGTTGTCTCATTTTATGAAGAAAGCTTTGCATTCTGAAAACAAAGCTTTATATAAGAAATAAAAGTTAGATGGAATCCAGATAACATGCGCACATCTTAAACCCAATTCAGCAGTAACTGAAATTGCAATCTGAAATACACTTGGGGAGAAAGCCTCATTAGACACAGCGGGACTTATCCAAGGACTGTGATGCATGTTGCAAAAAATGTACACCTTAAAAAAGAAAAAGGAGATGGTTACCTCAGATCTTCTGAATGAGTCTTATAAATCCAAAATCGTTTACTTTGTCGAGCGCTGTGAAAACTACAAGATAATAAAATAGCTGAAATGGACTTCTCAAAGAAATGTCCCGTCCCCCCATATCATATAATACAACATTAAACAATAAGACTGCAATCTAAGGTATAGAAACAAGCAGGTGTCTAGTCATTCCTGAGCCCAAAGATTCTGCTGCATGACCGGGAGATGCGTCTACCAGCGAAGGAGGGTGTGCCACTGATTTCAGCCACTATCCAGACACCTCTGCTAAGAACCGGAGATTCCTCCAGAGCAACTTTTGAGAGGAGAGCAGAAGCAGTGCTTCCAGGGTGGGTTTACAAAAAGCTAAAATATAACAAATTGTAGCATGTTAAAATGACAATACTTTTAAAAATGTCTGGGAAATGTTAAAGTGCCTTCACTTCAGTAAGTATGTTCACATGGAGGAAGTTTTCCCTCTTTGAAATGGGAGAAAAATTTGGCCTTCAAGCACCCTGTTCACCCATATGCTCTAGGTCAAAACCTGATTTTTTTTAAATGGGCACGAGGAACAGGAGCTTTTTCAGTTGTGGCATCAATGCTTCAGAATGCTTTTCCTAGGAAGGCCTTCCAGAACCAGGTGAGAACCTGATTCTTTGAAGAGATCTCTGGGGAAGGCTAAATCAACTGAAGGTTTTTTTTACTTCTGATAAGCTGGATTTTCTTCACTGCTTTTCTGACTACTGATTTTATTACAGAATTTTATTGTGCTGCTCTGGTATTGCTTTGATTATTTTTCTATTTTTACGCTGTAATCTGCTTTGAGTTCCTTAGTGGAAGAAAGCAGCCTAGCATTTATTTTAAAAAAAAGCATAAATGCTAATTTATAAATCATGGAACAGAGGACACTAAAGCCATGCAGAGCCCCAATCTTCCGTTAATGCAGCTGTGGCATTGCAGTATAGCACTGGCTGAGAGACAGTATGCTCCTTGCCTGCCTCTTCTCTTCCTGAGCACAAGCCCCCAGCCTCAGCTTTAACCACACTGAACGCTAACCAGGCTTTCAACCACCAACAAACAGGTTTCAAATATTTTTTAAGGGGGAAACCTACCCAGGAGTAATCCTGGTTAGGGTCAGTGCCCACACAAGGGGAGGTGGTGTTAGGGTTGCACTGAGGCACAGACTTGCTGCAATATAAAAAAGAGCAGAAATCTACCAGAACAGAAACAAACTACAGACATAATTTAACAACTTGAAGCTGAATATTTCCTACCTCATCATGTGATTCACGTAGGCTTTACTGCAGCTTGTGCTGTATCTGCATAAACTACAGCGAACATAGGCTGGAAAGTGGCTGGCGAATGTCCTTATATCAGAATAACACTCAATGCACTTCTGAATATTCGGGCATCTAATATGAACCAATGTCAGAATTAGTATGCAGTATTAAGAAAAAAGTTAAGTTCCCATTTCAAATCATTATTTCCAGAAAAGCTTGCTTAGTTAATATCACTGGCCTGGAGAAAAAGAATCTGGCTTTTGAATTTTGCTTTATAATGTCGCCCCATCTTTAGAAAGAGGCTTTCCAGAGGACCTTCCACGGTGGGGGTCAATGTGGCACAAGGGGACGAAGTGGGAAGGGCAGCTGGGAAGCTCCAAGGAGCATATGGCATTCTGAAAATAGCCTTCTTTACTTCAAGGCCTCTGTGTGCTGCCTTCTTAGATCTTAAGGCAGCCTTCGACAGCGTTCCTAGAAATATTCTTTGGGAGAAACTTGCGAAACAGGGCATCGATAGAAGGCTCTTATGGCTTATAAGTCAGCTCCACGAAGGTACCTTTGCCAGAGTGAGACTTACTCCTGCGGGCGACCTCACAAATTCGATACCAATAAACAAGGGAGTGCGCCAAGGATGTATATTGGCCCCCTGCCTATTCAATCTATTCATCAGCGACATGCGAGCACCCCTAGTCAACTCATCTCCAAGTACACATGCGCCTAGACTAGCGGATTACCGCTGTCCACTCCTTTTATATGCGGACGACGCGGTAATTCTATCTTATACACGTGTTGGACTAACCAGAGCTCTGAAGATCTTTGCCACGTATTGTCAACTCAACCAATTAACCATCAATCATGCTAAATCTAAGATTCTGATTTTCGCCAGAAGTCGGAGATTATACGAATGGAAGCTTGGTGGAGCAAAAATAGAGCAAGTCCTAAAATTTCAATACCTAGGAGTTATTTTTCAATACAATTTGGGGTGGAAAGCACATATTCAACACCTACTTAATAAGGCCAAAACTCTGTCATATGCGCTCCTCCGATTTTTCTTTTCGGATGGAGCTTTGCATGTTCCCTCGGCCCTAAAGGTGTTCAAGGCAAAAGTGGTTCCCGTGCTTGCTTATGCTGCCCCGCTCTGGGTCGTGATGACAGACCTTGCTCCTCTTGAGACTTTGCAAAACCAATTCCTACGTCGGCTCCTAATGCTCCCCCTGTGCGTAAGCAACGCAGCCATGCGTTTAGAATTGAGGATCGCATCCTTAGAAACCTGCCTGTGGAAGCAAGTCTTCAATTATTGGTTATCATTGTGGCATAGATTACCAGACCATTACCTTGCCCAATGCTTATGGCGAGATGAATTCCCCAGCCTTTGGACCAGTAGAATTCATGCCAAACTCCTGAGCTATGGAATCTCTCCCTTAGATTCCCTAAAACTAGATCAAATCACTGCTCAAAGACTGATCCGCCAAAGACTGGATGACATCGATTTACAGCAAAATTATATGCTGGGGGGAGGTGTTTGTTCGCCCCAGAACATTGGTATCACTTTAACTTATTGCGTTCCATCATACCTCTCCTCCCTTTCGACTGTTGCCCATAGGCTGGCCTTCACCAAAGCGAGGTTTAATGTTTTTCCCTCCAATGTCCTGAGACATAGATTCTCAAAGGGCCAAACCTCCGCCATGTGCGAATGTGATAAGGAGATGCCGGAGTCGCTTCAGCACATTATGTTCACTTGCCCCTTATTTAAGGTGCCACGGGCAAACTTGTTGGGATCAATCATACAGAAATTAGAGGGTACTCCACCAAAATTCCACCTTGCCCAAATCTTGCAGGATAAGGATGCCCATACGACCCTGAAAGTGGCTAGGTTCCTGGTCGCTGTCCTTACCCAAAAGCGTCGCCAAGGAGCACCACAAGCTAATTAAGGCGTAGTATGCCATTCCACCTTATAGTAGCTTATTGTTATAGTAGTGTTTTAGCGGCTGTTTTTTTCCCATGTGCACAGGCTGTTATTTATGTCTTGTTTTTATCTGTATGGGCCTACGGCCGTAATAAATTATTATTATTACTTATTATTA